AAATCCAACAATTTGTCAGTGTAGAAAATATGGCAAATCTTCTCATCTAAATGTTTCACTTAACCAAAATAGGTAAGGTTATAAAAATAATTCACTGTATGTTTATTTAAGTTGAACTAGGTCTAACCTGATCAAATTTAGCAGCTCTACTCAGATATTTATATTTGCAGTAAAGACAGAAAAAGAAAACAGCAGCGAGTTTCCAAAAATAGCTGCATTGTCATTTACAGCACATACAGCTGGGGTGTGCTGGTGACTCCCACCCCACATGTTGCTAGGGAGAAAAGAGGACTTCTGCAGGATTACTCCTTGTCTTCAAGATACTGTTGCTAAGCAACACAGCGACTGGGTCAATATTACAGTGGATGCTCATACTCACTAGAGCTTTGCTAGTGATTTTCCGTTGTCTGTTTAAAATGTAACAGCAATCGAAGCACTCTGCTTTGTTTTTCTGTTCCTCTGTGAGGTGAACAAAAGGAATCGTGAGGTCTGGTTGTTCCCAACCTGATGAGAGCTTAAGATAACTATAAAAAAACAAACAAAAAAAAAACACCTGATTTGATCAAAGGAGAAGCTTTCCACAACGGAGGCTGTGATAAGTGTCCCTCTTTTTATCAGGTTTTTGTTACTGATGGATGTCCTGCTTGGGATTTGTTCAACAAATACTTCCAATCATTTCTTTAAGAAGGCATTTCAACTGAGGATAACAGCTGTTCAATGATAAATTCTACTATGTACAGATGTGTAACCTTGTTAATTACTACAAACAAGTCAGTAGACTCATATTTTGCAACAGTATTGCTTTTTGCTAGAATTCATAGACAACATGTCTGCTACACATATTTAATTTAGGTAAAAAATTACAAAGTAGCTGAGAATTTATGTTTTTAGTTGAGATGGAGGCCATTTTTTTACACAATGGTTGACAACTGTCCCTTGATAAGGATCGATTTCATATTAATAAACACTGTTAGCTGTTTAACTTAGTTCAATAGTTGAATTTATAGCTTACAAAATTAATTTCCTCACAGTAAATTGCGAAAATAAATTCACAATGTCAGCAGAATGAAGGACAATGCCTGGTCAAGAAGTGTCCCCTTTATAATTTTCACAGAGTAGGCAACCCTACACACAAATGTGGTCAAATATCATTTTCCACCTGACTTGAATAATGATTATCTTACGGAAATGGATAAGAAACGTGTTTACCCACAACCACCAACTTGGATGTCAAAAAATGGACCTCACTCATATGCCATGACAGTAACACACACCCACCCACACAAACATAGATACAGTACTCTTTTTGCAATGCCTGAACTATTGATGACCAGGTTTTAACAACGCCTATTTAAGTTAGGGAAGGATTTTCAGCTGTAGAAGTCCAGGTTGCAGTGTCACGCCAGTCACTTTGTTCCCTTTAGCTTTTCATTCTCTAGGTTTTATAAACAGCAGTCATCTAGTATTCCATATACAGACTGTTTTGATAGTGGATGATTCAGGATTAAAGGTAACGTTCTAAATATAATTATTTATTCGATTTATTTTTTTGTCATTTTTTCTTCACCAGTTTGGAAACCAGGGGTGCCCATCTATATAAAAACCCATGTAAACACCCAGTGAAATAACCCTGTATAGTGATCCTATTATAAAAAATAAAGTGGATGCACTGTATATACTCAATATATATCCCATGTACCTTTTTCTTCCTCGGGCAACCTCTTCTTCGTTGACTATTTGAGCTGATTTAACGACTACATTTCTCCACTGTGAGATCAATATAGTCAACCAATCAATCAATCAATCAAGGGGGGATGGGGGAAGCACCAATCTACACCATTAAGAGTCACAGAGCAGGTATTGCTTTTTCTTTGTGTTGTTGGCATCCAGGTCATAGTTCCTGTGATCTAACTTTGATGTGTTGGAAAACCAAACTATAAAGTCTCCAGTGTTGGCTAGGCGTCATGGGATAAAGAGAGTCCTGCTGTGTGGAGGCATTCAAGCTCTTTTAACTTTTCACCTCTCGGGGTTTACTGTGTTATATCCCACCAGCTGTCTTATGTTGACCTCTTAAAGATGCACACATTTATAATTCATACAAAGCAAACACATACAGACACGTTGTAGACCTTTTCGGTTGCTTTGATGGGGAAGGGACAGCTGGTGTCAGGGTTGGGTTGAGGATCCAAATGCAGAGGCAGGGAGGCGGAGGAGAGTTTTTGTAGATTCAATGTAATTTTCACAAACAACTGAGGCAGGAATCCAAAAATCCAACATGAAAAATGTAAAACAAACCAAAATGATAGAGACTTGAGGAGAAAACAATCACGAGGAACCAGGGTAAGACAAGGTAGGACAAAGTAAGATGAGGAACTGCATAAGGAGAGTATTTATAGGAGACTGAACAAAGAGAGGACTAACGAGCTGATTGGGAGCAGGTGTGAAGAGAGAAGTCCAGAAAGGAGCTAGGGAAAAGGAGACAAAGGCTACTTTCACACTGCAGACCTTGACGCTCAATTCTGATTTTTTTGTGAAATCAGATTTTTTTTTTTGCGTTGCCGTTCATATGTCCAAATATATGCGACTTGTATTTGATCTCCTGTGTGAACTACAATCATACAACGCAAGTGTTCCGCATGCGCAGTAGAGGACGCAATGATGTCACAGGCCAGTATGCTCTGTTTACAGAAGTAAACATGGATGGTAGTGCCGGTGCGCATCTAGCAGTCTTTTCCAACCATAAAAACTCAATCTTTTCAACATGGTTAAACATAAATACTGCTCTCTGCATCATCAACTACCATGGTTGCTGTTTTTCTGCGTTGCAAGATGCAGAATAGTGACCTTTGTCAGATATTAATGACGTTTAGTTTGGATGAATCCGACCTGGCCGTTCAGGCACAGGTCGCATTTGAAAAGATCAGATTCGTATCGGATTCAGGACCACATAGCCAAGTTGCCTGGGTCGGATTGAAAACAAAATTGGATCTGTGTTGTTCAGACTGCCATGAAAAGATCAGATCCAGGTCGTATATGGGCAAAAAAAAATTGGATTTGGGTCACTTCAGGCTGCAGTGTGAACGTAGCCTTACATGAGAGGGCAACAAATAAAAACCTAAGAACTTAAATATAACCAGAAAACACAACACAATTGGAATTAAACCAATAAAACTAGAAAACATGGAGCAAATTAAAACTTAATACTCAAAAGAAAACAGAGCAGAACCAAGACTGGGACAACTGGCGGCTTCACTTAAAGTAGAACCTCTGCCTAGCAAGCAGTTTAAAAAAATAAAAATAAAGAATTGTTAAAAAAAAAATGGAATAATTCTTAAACCCAGTGCTACAATAATATAGTAGTGTAACCCCTACCTTTGCATAATAGTGGGGAAGCCTATGAGGGTGGAGCTTAAGCAAGCCCCGCCTTCAAAACACTCTGCATGCAGTAACCAGGGAGACTCGCCCCATAGCAGCCCATCACGACGCGCCTCTAAAGCGCCTGTGGCTGATAGTAGAGAGCAGAGCCTGAGCTGCTGAGGCTGAGAGGAGTTTCCCACTGCAGAGATGCTGCCCGGTGTCCCCGACATATAAAAGCTCGCTGGAGTCATTCTCTAAACGGGGAAAAACAGGCGCTTATTTCACTCTTCCAAATGTGGGGAGCCCCTCTGCCCAAACAACACAGCCGCGGTCTGGATGCGAGATGGAAACATAGGGGATTCCTCTCGAGAACGCGCATCGTGAAGAAATTACAACCGGTTTAGATTAAACACCGAGAGGAATAGGAGCGGAGATTTGCTGAAAATGGTTCAAAACGTAGTTTTGGTGTTTTTCCGCAGGAGGCTGAGCCAGAGACCGAATGTGGAGGAGTTGGAGAGTCGAAACATTTTAAAACGTAAGTCGTTTAATTCTTAACTAGATAAATTACACTTTACTCCCAGTATAAGTGTGTTAATTGGGTGCTTTTCTTTTTCATTTCCACCTAAAAAAAATTAACTGATTCACTTTTTTTCTGGTTTTCCCAGAGAGAAACGATCAGACAGAGCAAGAAGAGAGAAGGGAGATCAAACAGAGACTCAACAGAAAGGTAAGACTGCTTCATTATTGAGGTTCTATCTGCAAACTGTAATGGTTTAAATTAAATTAGGCTTTTCTTGGGGGCTTTTTCAGCTCAATCAGCGGCCAACAGTGGATGAGCTGCGAGAAAGGAAGATTCTGATCCGTTTCAGTGACTATGTGGAGGTGGCCAAAGCTCAGGACTATGACAGGAGAGCAGACAAACCCTGGACTCGCCTTTCAGCTGCAGACAAGGTGTGTGCCACATTCAAAACTTAAGGATCCAGCAATACAGAAAAAAAACAAAAAAACAGTTTACTATTAATATCAGAGATGACAAAATCCTCCATTCTATGATGATCACTGAAGACCTAACACATTGATGCCATCAATATTTTCTAATGCATGTTTTCTCACAATGTTTTTTGGGGATTCCCTGATTTTTTTGCCTATTTCCTACAGGCTGCCATCCGAAAAGAGCTGAACGAGTTCAAGAGTACAGAGATGGAAGTGCACGCCTCCAGTAAACACCTAACTAGGTTAGTACTCTGGTCATGTAACCACTGTAGCTGCATGTCAGCGTAGTAATAAATGCACGCATGTTCTATTCTGGGCTGCAGCAGTCTAAATTTAGCTCTCCATGCTCTTCACATAGGAGAAGGCTATAAATAGATTGGAGTGCATATAAAATGGGGAGGGGTAGGTGGTCCCCTGGAGATCTAAGGGTATCGGAGAGAGTAATGATGAAATGGTTCAATGTCCTTGGCTGTGCAGAAAGAATGGGACTGTTTGTTGTGCCAGTGACCCAGAGAGTTTAAAAATAGCTCCTGATTAATGGCTAACATACCCAGATGTGATGACAAAGGTATACTCTCCAATCCTCTGCATTTACATATAGCTTATTTGCCTTTTCAGGTTCCACCGGCCGTGAAAGTGAAGAGTTTCTTCTGTGAAGAAATGCTGAGCTGAGAAATTCCCTGAAGCTGCCTGACGCCACTCAGTGGTGACACATCAAAGAGCCCGAAGCTCTTTTTTTGTCTTCAGCGCATCTTTAAATTTCTTCCTGCACCCCCGTATCATCAGAGTGAAGAAATGGGTGTAGGAGAAACAAGAGAGGGATCTTTGCAGCAGTGTGTCCTGGAGACTGCTGTTTGCAACATGGAAGCAGACAGGTGAAAGAGACTGTAATTGAGAAAAAAAAATTCTGCCTCTCAGGACAAGAGCAGAATGGGAAAAAAAACAATCCTGTCATTAATTTTTTTTGTACTAATTCCAGGAAAACTTTGACAAATCGGTGTGAATCCGTGTAGTGGGAAGAAGATGTAGTGCATGTGACCACCTTTTCTTAACTGATGAATAATGTGTCACTTGGACTGTGTACAGACTGTGAAGTCGGGTGAGAATGTGTCGGGGAGAATTTTGATATGAACTGTATATACAGTATGTCAATCAGAACGGGACTGACAGTGTCTTCACTGAAAAAACAAATACCTTTGTAAGCACTACTTTAAAATTGTCTTCAAAATACAACACATTTTATAAGAACAAGCGGTGTATTTATTTTTTAAACAGTTTTATTTCAAATTAAGACTGAGGTTAACAAGTGTTTAAAAACTAAACAGGATTTTTTTTTAGTTGGACCATTTCAAAAGTCAAAAAATGTATAATACTTAACCACTAATAGAGTATTTTAAAAGTGACAAAGCAATACAGATACAAACATCAGATCAACTTAAATGTAATTAAATAGTCAAGAACATTCTTTAAAGATTTTTAACCATCTAACACAACAAGGCACATGTGAAACAAACGCAGCTCTTAACCAACTGGATTGATTTATATGAAACAAACTGGATTAAAATCCCTTTATGCAAACAGCTATATAGAGAAGCACAAACACATTTCTCAGAAGGGTGCATCCCATGTGGACAGACACCTCGGCTCACTATGTAGAGTAACCTTTGGTCACCTCCAAACTGGCTTCATCCGGAGAAAAACAAAGCATGTATTCCTCTCTTCATACTCTGGATCTCTTGCTCATGCTGTGAATGGTGCAAAAGCATTACAAAACATCATTTAAAATTTCATACAAAATTCTTTCAGGCTGTTCTACTACGGAAAAGGATTAGGGCCACTAAAAAAATTAATTAAATAAAGATTTTCAAATTTTATGTCAGAATTCTGTCTTTTTTCTCACAATTCTGACTTTAATTTCAGAATTCTGACTGAATTCTGACAGCTAACAAAAATGTAAGCATCAAGCCGTAGCCATGTCTGTTTTAGAGACTAAACTAGCTCTTTTCTTTTAATCAACTTCTGCTCTTCCATGAATGAAATCGCATCACCGGGGACCCCTCAGGCACGTAAAAAGTCAGTTAATTCTCTCATTTTCCACCATTGTGTTACTGGCCCTCCCAAACAACTCACATCTTTGTCAGTGAAGCTAAGTGCTCCCACATCTCTTCCTTCATGGTGCCCATCTACATTAAGATCTAAAATTCTTAGAAAAAATTCAGAATTCTAATGAAAAAAGTCAGAATTCCGACTTTCTTTCCTGTATTAAACTGAAATAATATTTAAAAATCAGTTAACTTTTTTTTTTCAGTGGCCCTAATCCTCTTCTGTAGTTCTACATACCAGGTGTTATAGCGAAATATTAAAAGTTCACACACCAGTGTTCCAATGCAGTATTGTTTTTTTTTTTCTTTTTTTTTGCTGATGTTAGAAATGAAAACAAATGCTTTCTGCATATAATTTCATAAAATCCCATACAGTTACAATTCAAACATCTACAGATTTATTAGAGACAAAAATGTGGAAAAACAAATGCTTCAACAACTTGGGTTCATTAGTGTGCGAAAACTTGGACAGATACTTTGTTAAACCAACTTTTTATCTAATTAATATTAACATCCAGTCTCTTGTACAGCTTTGGAAGCAGTCCACATCATGCCTCACTAACTTTGAACCAACTCTGTCTTGCAAATATTACAATTTGCAATGACTGACGGCAGCTTTAAGGTTAAATGATGAGTTCCAAGATGCTTTAACAAGACGTTAGTCCTAGTTTTCATTTAAATTGGACAGGATAAATGTTACCAATGATATATCTTGGTCTCTTTGTTTTCAAAATGATAAAAACTTATTCAATTCATGGGTGACCAGATGTTCTATATTCACATAATGTAGAAGTGTTCAGAGCTACCCTGCTGGAATGGCAGAGTAAAGGAAAGAACATGGAAGCCGTGTTTTAGACTGTTGTGATCAACTCACCATTTCATCGAGGAGTCTGTCCTGAATCGACTTCAGGTCCTTTTTGATCAGGTCCATCTGAGAACAGCAAGTAGTAGAGAAAGACTTCAGGAAAAATGGCCAGAATTCAGTCAGTCGGTAAAGTTATGTTGGTGTAATCAGTACAGTTATTCCAGCCAAAGCAACAAGAATTAAATATTAAGTCTGATATGTAGTTAAGAGTTAGACCTCTGATTTGAACACTCCTTCTTCATAGTCCAAGCCGTGATCATAGATGCTTTGGAAGGTTCTCTTCAGTGTATCATTCCTATAAAAGCACAGACCAAAAAAAGGACTAAGGAACACCAGAGAAGAGGAAAAAAAATCTGATCTATAGGCCTATAACATTAAGGGCCGGATCTATCAAAGGTTTGCGTGTATTAAAACGTGAGCTATTTCACTGCGCACGCTAAAAAATGTACAAACTGATCTATCAACAGCGTGCTAAAAGGATTTGGTCTTTAAAACGTGCTAAATAGCGCCTCTTATCCATTTACCGTATTTTCACGACCATAAGGCGCACCGGACTAAAAGGCGCACTCTCAGTTATGTGTCCCATTTCTGTATTTAACACACACATAAGGCGCACCGGACTATAGGGCGCGTTTTTTATATACAGGTACATGTCCTCTACTACCTTTAAATACCTCTACTGCGTATTTAAAAATACAGCGGGGGCAAAACTGAGTATGACTGTGCTTTATTCATGTATTTATTACAAAGTATTAATCAAACCTGGCAGCTGGCCGTGAGACAGACACATCGCAGATGACACAGCGCTGTGATCACTCCTAAATTAACTTAAAATCCTGAAACCTGCCAACGGAATATGTTCGCTTTTATTGCCGGTATCCTGGTGCCTGCAGTTAAAATTATTTAGATGAAAAACACCTGCCAGCAGCCGCGGTGAGGCTGCTGTCGGTGCAACGCTGGTATGTGGGGGTCTGAGCGCCTACGACAGAAATAGATAATCTGGATGAACTGACTGCAATTATTAAGTTTTCAGGTGGACTTTCTCACTTAAAAACATATTAAAACTACTTTATTCCCACTGATCACAGCAAATATAGCTGCAAGATTTAGATTATTTAGATGAAAAAACACCTGCCAGCCACCGCGCTGAAGAGGAGGAGACGCGCCCAGAGGCAGCTGTTGAATTAAGTTTTCAGGTAGAAAAATAGAGCGGGAGCAAACCTGAGTATGATTGTGCTTTATTCATGTATTTATTACAAAGTATTAATCAAACCCATCAAAGTCATCATCCTCTGTTTCTGAATTAAACAGCTGCGCTAAATCAGACATGCCAGTTTCCCCTTCTGCGCTGTCAGAGTCACTTTCCGTGCAGCGCAGCTCCTCAGAAATAATGCCGGCTTTTGCAAAAGCTTGAACAACAGAGCCAGCAGACACGTAGTAGTCCAAGCATCTACAATCCATCCGCAAACGGTGGCGTAACTTGCCCGGCGCTGCCTTCCCATTATCCTGAAACTGTGGTCTCCGTCTGTCATCCATCGCTCCCACGCCGCTTGCAGCCTTACTTTGAACGGCCGCTTCAAACCGATGTCGAGCGGTGGAAGTTCCTTTGTCAGACCCCCGGGATAACGGCGAGCACAGCGTTCATTTGATTCACCTTTTTTTCACATCGGCTGTGAGATGGGCACGCAGCGATGGTGATGCGTGGAAAAAACCACCTAGTCTTCTCAGATACACCTGCCTCAGCCACGCATCCACCCAGCCTTTTTCATCTAATATCATATGTCATCAGAGCGCTGTGTCTGTCTCGCTGTCAGCTCCCAGATCTGCTTCTCTGATTGGTTGATGCGGCGCGTCCAGCAGCAAAACTTCAATTTTTCCATCTTGAGCAGCAGCAGCGCTGCAGGACCTTTTGCTGCACCTATACGCGCGTCAACCATTGACTTTGCATGTAAACTCGCTGCTTCTGCTGCACCTGCTGGGTCCGGTTCACACCGATGTCGAGCGGTTGAACAGCAAGCACAGCATTCATTTGTTTCCCCATGTTTTTCACATCAGCTGTGAGATGGGCACGCATGGAGTTACATATTAACAGCGATGGTGAGGGGTGGAAAAAAAAAACACCTGGTCTCCTTACATTCAGCCACTCTTTCATCATCTCCTCAATGAGGTGGTCTCAAAAGTCGCAGTTACAACACACATAGGGCGCACCGCACCATAGGGCGCACCGCACATTTTGAGGGAAAAAAAAGACGTTTAAGTGAGCCTTATAGTCGTGAAAATACGGTAGTACTTTTTCTGCAATGAATATGCAATATGGGGCGTTTACACGCAAAAGTGCGTCTTGTGGGAGGAGAACATGTAAATATATTAATTTAGCACTCGCAAATTGATTTATCAAACCTGAAAGCAATTTTGCTAACGGTATCTGACTCTATATTTAACACGTTTCAAAAGAAGGTGCAAATGGTCTGTATGCGTAATTGCGCACACATGGCAGCGGTTATTGCCGCAAGAAGGAGACATGGAAATGAAGCAAGGAGACGCAGAGAACGCATTTTTTCACTCCGTGTGAATATTTTTGGAATGAACGAGGAAACGATCATCAAAACATTTCGTTTATCCAGCATTGCCATCTTGAAGCTGCAATTCCAGTGATTTGCTCGTCACAGAGCGTCAGCTGTACTTGTTCCTCAATGCTGGTCAGAGGCATCTTATCTACTGTGCCCCCTCCTGTTTTGTTCGCAGATGTTTTGTTATATGCCAGTTTTTCTTTGGTTCGCCTTCTAATATCCTGGTATCTTCTTTTTACTTCATCCACTATTCGCAAGGTTTCACCAACAGCGTTTACTTTATTACAGATTTGTTCACATATAGCGTTCCTCTGTGTGACAGGCACACTTCTTTGCTGTAGCTCACTTAAATGTTTGTTGGCTTCATCCACCAATACCTCCATTTCCATGGGGTCGAATTTCCTTTTGCGCTTTCTGCTGTCCAAACTCGCCATGCCGAAAACCACAAAACGCGCAAAACCATCATTTAAATAGGGCGTCTCCAACAGTTTTGCACCTGCCACCAGTTACGCAATAGCTCTTGTTAAATCACCCGCAAACCATGGTTCAGCCCCTCGCGCAAAATTCCAGTTTGCGAGCGCAAATTACTGCACGCAAAATTGGATCTTGATAAATCCGGCCCTAAGACATTTCCAGGAGAAAAAGGGGCAGCTTATTATTGGTGGACTGTACGGAAGCGTGTTGCATTCACCTAGAAAACAAAACAAAAATTGGTCTGTTTTTCTGAATTAACGAGAAGCTCTATGAAAAAAAAGCATTCTGCTTCTCTGTATAATTGACAATAAAAAAAAAAAGTACTAACAAGCTCCTTGTTACAAAATAAATAAAAGTGTTCTGCTTCTTTGAATTAATGGGATTATGCTGCTATTATTTCATCGTGGATGTTCTATGCAGATTTCTAAGCAAGAGAGAAGCTTCAAAATGTCCCATTCATCTTTATTTTCTTTTGTGATTGAGACATTAGGAAACTCTCTTGTTTCTCAGTTATGTAGATGTGATCTCTATTAGTTTGTCCACTTTACAAAGACACCTGTATGTTGGGTGCTACTCGTAGCACGGTTATTTACCCCTTAATTTCTTTTTCAGTTTATCTCATTAATTCAGACAGAAGGCCTTTTTTATTGGTGTCTCATAAAAATTATCCCATCAATTAAAAAAAACTTATAGTTTTTATTTATTTCTTTAAAAAAAGTAATCTTGTTTATTCAGAAAAAAACAAGTATTTATGTTTTATAAAACTTCCTGTTCATTCAGATAAAACTGTACTTTTAATTTATTTTTTCAAATTATCCTAATTCAGAAAAACAGAACGTTTATATTTATATTAATTATCTTGTTCATTCAGAATAACAGAACATTTTTAGTTTATTTTTTTATGAAAAGATATTGTTAATTCAGAAAAAAAGAACGCTTTTATCTATTCTGATAAAACTGTTCGTATTCAGAAAAACAGACCAAGTTTTTGTTTTGTTTTGCAGGTGAATGCAATATGCTTCCCAAGGACTGATACAATGAATAAGGGAATTCAATTTAAAAAAATAATTATTAATAAAAACAGGGAGACAATTTTTAAAGTACTATTTTTCTTTAGTATTGTATTATAGTATCATAGGAAAATTTGTCAGTAAACAGCTACGTGTATTTAAATGTACTCGGAACATCAATCAAACTAATAATAAAAGGGACATTCTTATACTTCCTTCGCTTTCTATGGGATTTAAAATTACAACTCCTACCAAAGAACTTGCAGAACTTTGATGTGTTACATGTCCTAAACTCCTTAAAAAAGAAAATATGATTTAGAATAATTAGGTTTCAAGAAAACCGGAAACACTTCATCCGTGCATCTCAATTGAATCATTATTTCCAAATCATATTAACATCTTTCTGTCAGAGTTGAGGTAAAATGCATTACTGTTTATTACAACAGTTTGTTTCTCAATGTACCCAATGGGATATGACGGCTGAGTACAGGGTAATCTCTCTCATCATATGAGGTGTTTAAAGCCATAAATTCACTTGTACAGTGGTAACACTGTGATACATACAGATGTGTATAGGAACACGTAGCCCTCGTGCAAACGTTCAACAAAGCACATTTGAAGCAAAGAACATACAGTTTATGTTTATTATTCAGGGTATGATCCATGTTTGTTCTACACCTATGTCCTATTACCTCCCTTTAATTGGGTTTCAGCAAAAGGACAGATTTGGAGCAATATTTATTAACGGGACTGTTGTAGTAAGTACAGCTATCCACCAAAACACAACTAAATGTTCATTTTAGAATCAGACATAAAAAAAGACACAGCTTGGATTTCAAAGTATGTCTCAATTAGAGCATAGGAAGCATGGGATTTATAATCCACACTGAAAAATCTGGGTGCTGGCTAAATAGTCCAGGACTGCATGCAGGCACAAACTCTGTGCAGCCCTATCAGTTATATAAAGAAACAGAAGCAACATCTCTTATACAAGAGATTCTGCTGTGAAAAAACATATTTAGTTTCTGATGAGGGGGGAATTGTTTTCTAGTCAAGCCCTTTAATTCTTGTTCTATTGAATAAACAAGTGTGTTGTTCAGCATTTTACTGAGTATTTTAGTCCAAGCTTGAGGAAAAATCAATGATAAGATCGTATTGGCTAAATAATGACATAACTCTTTTTTTATTCACCTCTTTGTTTCACAGTCCTGGTAAGAATGGAAAGTTGTAATCTGCTTTTCCCAGTTTATCTGCAAAGAGAAAAAAATACCAAAACAATTACTGTCAAATTTATGTAGATTGCGATTATTGTTCAAATGTTTTTCTTTTTCCTATAGCTTTTCAAACCAAGGAATAAATATAAAAAACAAGGGACCCACAGCCAGATCTTTCTCCATGTTTTTTAGCAAGTTAACATCCTGCTCCATCTTCTGGATTTCCTCTACAAGGGTATTTTGAACTTCACTCAGCCTTTGAATTCTGTCCAGAGCAAAAACACAAATAACCACAGAAATAAATCCAAGAAGAAATTAAGCTGATTTTTTTTTATCTCACACAAAATCAGAGAACTGAGGATGTGGATTCTATACAGCAAGCAAATACTCAGTGTTTGGAGTTTAAGAGCATTCTGAGAACAAAGAGAAGCAACCAGTTATTATACCTAACAAAATGGTACAGAGGAGAGCATTTGCACATTTAGCAAGTTGACTTGCTCATTTGGTTAAAAAAAACATTAAAAGCAGTTTGTTCAAGGCAGTAAAATTGACCGAAAGATACCTGTTTTCGTTAAACTGGACTCCAATGGATGAAATGTGGTGCTGGACAGCCTTGGAAGACCGTTTGTTGTAGATCTCCATTAAATGGCTACGGTTCTGAAAAGATTGATCACAAATGAGATGAGGATTAGTCACAGAAGAGTCTATTCCTGTAGGTAAACAATGCTTTCTAAAACAAACAGCTCAATAAAGCCTAACAGGATTATTTCTGTTGGTGTAGTACATGGTTTCAAAGAGGGCAAGGAGATTAACTTAAATACAAAAACACTTTTATTTTCTTTTTGTGTGTATAAATGTATGGATGTTAACCTGCAACTTGTTTTTCAGCTCAGAGGTGAACTGCTGACAAAGTTTTTTTGGCTTTAGAGTCTCTTCTGGAAGCTCTGAATCCCCATCCATCTCCAAGTCTCCATACACTTCTTCAGTCTCCCAGTGACTGGAACTCATGTGGCTCAGCTCATCTTCAACAGAAACCTCTTCAACTTCAAGTAGAAAATATCCAGAAATATATATTTCGATGTTAATAGGAACAATCATTTTGCAACAAGATCCGATTTATCTTCAAAACATTGCTGAAACTAAAGAAAATGTTTGATAAAAACATAATGAAGTCATCAGTTAGAATTAAAGCTTTTAAGTGAACAAACACCTGATAAAATGTGTAGCATTTGATATTAATAACAGCAGTAATATTTCTTACAAGACTTGAACAGTTTTCTTGGCTTCATTCGAGGAGAACGCTGGCCTCTAATCTTGCTCTTCTTCCGCTCCTCTTCATTCTCGTCTTCCTCTGACTTACTGGATAGTGAGACGCAGCGCTTAAGAGCGGGTCCTAAAAGACATGTCAGGATGTAAAACAGCTACTTTGTAGCAGAGGTGAGACCAAGTCATTTTTTTGCAAATCAAAATAAGCATCAAGTCTCAAATCAGGGTGCAAGTAAAAACATCAAAGCTGAAGTCAAATCCAAAGTCAAGGTGGTCTGAAGTCCAACTGAAATCTTGAACTTTTAATATTGAGTTTTAAACATGTCACTTGACAAAATACTACTACTAGAAAAATACTGTTTCTGAGATTTTTTAATACATTTGAAATGTGCTTTTGTTTTCCTGAAAAAACAGTAAAAGTAAGAAAAAGAGTAAAAGTAAGAACAAGAACTGTTCAATAGTTTTTGCCATCTTCTTTGTTGTGCTTTCTCCAGCGTCACGCAGCTTTGTCGTCACACCCTCAAAACCCCGCCCACTTGGCATCCAGAAATTCAAAACACATCTCTGCTTTGTGATTGGCCAGCCAGTTCTAGGGCCTGAGGCATTGATGGAGGTTAGATGATTTTGGCCGCTGGCAGGTGGGGCGTCTTTACTATGCTAGAATGTTTAAGAAATGTTACTTAATGAAGAGGCTCATCGGATAAAAAAAAAAAAAAAAAATGGTTCTAAAATACTAATTTGCATATGGACAAAAAAAAATCACATAACCTAATCTGTGTTCAGTTAATCCTAAATAATAAAGAACCTACACACACATACTTGTGACATCAGGGAACACAGGAAGCGCATATGGTTGCTAACCATCACCCAGTTCAATAGCCACACATCTGGCCTGTTGCTGTATAATACTGCAGGCAGTTCTTATATTTCTTTCTCCAGACAAGCAAAGATGATGATGATGATGATGATGATATGTAACACTTGACCTGTCTGAACTTATATTCCAACTGAAAGCCCCCAAACACAGTAGAGCAGATTAATGGTACATAGTGGCCTAAGCCTTATTTGAGTGATGCCTTTGTCTTTTCTTGTCAGACCTTGCACATGCTTTCCTGATGGCTCACGATGACAGGAATACTCTACCAAATAACTTCAAGTTAAACAACTCAAGTCCAAGTGCAGTCATAAGTCATGGTGTGAAAGTATTACATAAATCAACAAGTTTAGTCTAGTTGTTTAAAATGCGAGTCATATCTACTGTAACTGAAGCGCACACCTCTGATTTGCAGTAATAAATGATTCGTTGTGCCAACACTATCATACTGGTGACATAATGACCTTCAGATGTGCTTCTTTATTTAATGGCCTCTAAGAACTTCAGACAAAAAGCACAAAGGTAAACAAAAAAACACTTTACCTGAGACAAGATGCTTCGTGTGTTTAAGGTTCTTGTGCATGAGCGGTGTTTTCTATCAGAGTGAATAGTGAAGTGTTAGACACCAGTTTTATAGTCAGAAATTTTCCATTTTTTTTAAATGCTCTACACAGATCAACAATGTACCAATATCCTAATCAATGGTTCCTACATGTTAGCTTTTCAACTATAATTGTGGTTTCTCCAGAAAACTTGAAAACACTTCAAATTCTATCCAAATTTCCAGACTTGGGCAAATATAAAAGCTAAAATATTCAGGTTGATAGATAAAAACCTCTTTATAAGACGTGGTCATAGTGGAGATGTTCTTTTTCCCGCTGAGCACCGATGACGTTGGAGACAAGTGGCTTATTGGACTCAGGGAAACTGAGGACACTTTACTGAGCTCAAGGTGACAACCGCTGGCTAAAGTGTCCCTGGGGAACTGTAACTGAGATGGAGATAGCACTGGGGCCTTATCTGACTCTATAAGGGTTGATGTTAAGAGTGGTTGTGTGGATGGAGACAAAAGGGACTGAGGCACTGAGGACAGATGCTTCTGCTCTGCAACAATCTGAAAATAAATAAAGAGAGAAAAGTGTGATAAAATACAGCTGTGAGGAGATATACCAAGACATTCTCTAATTACAAAGTCTTTCTAAGATTGTTGACGAGCAGCAATAATGACATTTTCTAAAGCAGGGGTCTTCAACGTTTTCCAGGCCAAGGACCCCCAAACTGATGGCGAGATGGAGCAGGGACCCCCTAATTACGTATATTGTATGAAATTGTGTTATATCAAAGTGGTCCTATAGTCACTCTATTTAAGATGGAGTAATTTCACCCTGGGATTATTAAAGTATTTCTGATTCTGATTCCTGGTTGATGGGACAGGTGTTGTGAATGAAACGGTGCCCAGCTTGAAAGAGATCCTGTGTGTCGCTAATGTGTTCATTGATGACTGAAAGAAATCATCTGCCTCCATTTATCTGTTTACTACAGTGTGTCGAATTCATGTTAATGTGGATTTAAAGAAATTTCAATTAGTGGACAAAATTGCAGGGGAGAATATAAAAAAAAAGACTAATCAACCAAAAGTTTCACGACCCCCATGCAGTACCTCTGTGGACCCCCTAGGGGTCGCGGACCCCCTGTTGAAGACCTCTGTTCTAAAGAATATCAGGAAGCGAGGGTGCACAACAGTAATATTATCAAACTTTAGTCATAAAGATAATTTAAATCATACTATTTTACTGTTCATAAAATCTTTAGGAATCAAATTTTTAACATTATTACATGATATTTTTAATTTCTGACATCACAAATTCCCAAGAATAGTTTGGTTTCTAGAAGTGGTCAGAGGTTACTCTATTATAGAATAGTGAGTTTGGCTGTTACAGCTAATCTATGTAGAACCTTTTAATCAAAAAACAATGGCGGTTAATTCCTACCTTTAAGCAATTTGAGTCTCTATACTATTTTAATTCAGGATTTTATGAGAGTTTTAAGAATTTATGACTGGTAAGTCAATAACAGAGGTTAAGAAACTCATTTATTTTTTATAAACATGATTAAAAGGAGCAAAAGCAAATCTATAATTAAAAAATGGCTTGCCGAACTACTAGAAGTTTGATCAAGTTAGAAAGAGAGAATATGGTCAAAAGGCCTAAAGATGATTCTAACGTTTGAAACCTTGTAGGTGTCACATGAATTTTCAGTGTGAAGTGGTTTACATACCTCTGTAGCACTTAGTCCAGTGGGGGGAATGGGTGCAGGGCTCTGACCTGCCAGTGAACAGGGAGAGGGGACACACTGAGTCTTCTGAGAACTCTGCTTTTTCTCTGCATTGCAGAAAGAAGACGGTTTACATTTCCCTTTATGGCCGACTGGTGGGCGAACGTTGGGTAGCAGCAGGATTTGAGAGGAGGTGTCCTGGCAGGGAGGATTTAGGAAGATAGGGAGTGGGGACCCCCGCGGGCTGAGGACAGTGGAGCAGGTCAATCCCAAGGTTGGATCTGACCTCTCAGCAGCTGTGAGTGTCCAAAGAAAACACAGATGTTCCAACAGCCAGCTTCAGATATTGGTCAGAGCACAGAGGGTCAACATACATAGTAAAGGCTTTGCTGAGCATAAGTGATTTCTGCATAAGACACAGCATCCACACTGTGAATGAGTCAACTGAACATGTATGTTTACAGGTTCAACATTTAACAGAACAAAGTCTGTTTAAAACAGAAACAGTTCAATACCAGAAAGTAAAAGAACAAATGTGCAAAAATTCTTCTCAGACCAGTTTTTTTCATATAATTCAGTCCTTCTAAAATAAGTCACCCTTATTACTTCAATTTTAACAAAGTTTAATTCAATTTCGAAATCAGATTAGTAATTGTGAATGATCTAAAACAATTTCCACTAAAAGAAAAGTCAAAATCAAATTAAGGATACAAATGTGTGATTGAATGAAACCACTGAATTAAAAGACGCCAGCTGACATCAAAGACATTAAACTATTGTGGTCTCACTCTGATGTTGGTTAAAAGCTTTCCACTCAAACTTACTTCTCATATGTTCAATGGAAGGAGGGGATGTAGAGAAAGAGGTCAGGCAGCCAGCCAACGAATTCTTCAAAGTGCTCATTTGTTCTCGACCCTGTAAGACATTTGTCTAATTCAACATCAGAGTTTCCTGAGCAACGCTCCCAGGCGTAACCTGTTGAGGCTGCTGTTAAGGCCAGATATTAGCATACATAAAAATGAATTAAAAAAAAGAATCCTTCTCTCACATTTTCTCTATTGTTAAATGCCAGGCTAATAATGCAGTTATTTAAACATTTTTTTACATTTTGTTTAAAAATATAATAAACATTCACTAAGATTACTGAATCATTGAACCTTTTTGACAGCATGGTGATGTAATGACGTTTGAAAAGCCTTTGTCAACTTCAGACACACAACTTTAAAGCACAGTTGTGTGAAAAATTGTTTGCCTTTTGAATGGTTGCCACACTTGAGTGCTTTGGAACATCAAACGAATGTCAAAAATTATCTAAAGACAACATAAGTTAAACAAAACATACAGTTTGTGAATAAGTATTTTCATTATTGAGGGAGGAAAAAAGGCCTGATTACTGCTGTATGAATTCTTCTTCTAAGTGGGATGACTGGCGGATGGCATCAAATGTTTAGATGCGTTATTGCCATCTACTTTGCTGTAGCATGGTCCAGATTCTCAAACAAATATAACTTATATTCTTGCAAATAATCCTGTTTCCCTTAAAAAATCGTACAAATCTTCTACTTCATGTTTAACAAATACACCTATAAATGATTTTCACATCGTACTTCCTTATTTCTTGCTTTATGCTCTACTGTTTCTAAATCCATTCTACAATCCCATCTGCCTGTTGGATGTTTAACCAAGATATTTAAAGTTTTATATTACGGTGTCTAATCATAAACGTAGGACTGCTTTTTCTCCAATTTCCTTTGTTTCTCCCGCCATTTTTTTGTATCTTAAATAGATGTCGACCTTTGGTTCCCACCTCCTCAGACCACTGCTGATTCACTTTGTTCTCAAAAGACTATTTGCCTTTTAATCAACCTTTTTGCTAATAAACTGTATAAATAAATGTCTTGTAGTGTTACCTATATGTCAAAGGTATATTTTTGACATGTTACTGCACATATGTTGTTTTGTTTTTGACAGCTTTTATTGTCAGTACACTGTCACAAGTCCAAATGAACTCTCTGCATTTAACCCATCCCCTTGGGGAGCAGTGGGCTGCCATTGTGCAGCGCCCACGGAGTAGTTTGGGGTTAAGGGTCTTTGCTAGGGACCCAGAGTAGCAGGCTGTAGAAGTGGGGCTTAAACTCAAAACCTAGTGGTTAGGGCGCAATGCTTTAACCACTAGGCCGCAACTTCTAATGTTAAAACACCCTCCAAAGGTAAAAATGAGGTTACTGCATCTGATTTTTAATATTGGCTTAGCCAAGGATGGGATTTAATTTAGGAGAACTGAAGTCAGCAGCTCTACCCGCAGCTGTGGTTCAATTAGGGACAGAAGATTCATATTCAATGATTTGGTTATATTGGAAAATTATTTGTTGTTTTCATTGTAAAAGTTAATAAATATTAAATGTATTGAAATTAGATAAAAACAAGTCTGTATCATGTGCCCAGTCTAGTACTATAATCTGACATTAATTTAGTCATTTACATGATCTAAAAGCTACTCAAAAAAAGATTAAGTTTAAAGATAGAAATTATAAAAAAAAAAAAACCACAAACGAACAGATTCATCTTTCTGATCTAAAATAATTATTTGGCATCCCTTTTGAATCAATGGGTCACAACAAATAAGTTATTAGTTTTTGTTTATCGGGGGTGTATGGTTCAGATATTATATATTATTGACAGTCTCCATTAGAACCACTTTAAGTGAGGAAGTAGCAACTGAACCAGTGGCTAAAACCATCATGGCTCATTAATGCTGGCCTCCTCCACAGAACCTTCCTCTCTTTCCCACTCTTTTCTCTGCCTCTGGTGAAGATGGTGGAAAGAAATCCTGCATCTTTCACACATTTCCATCACAAAACAATATACAGCAGGACTGCCTGTGTGCCCATGCACTCAACCCCTCTCTACGTAACACTTTCCCCTGGTTGCACCTTCCTTTAGAGAAATACACGTGTGCAGATATAAGGCCCTGAGCTGTACTATAATCACAGATTTCCCTTTAGATATCCTAAAAACAGTATCCATAATTCCATCATGATTTCAATTTTCAGATTTCAGTTCAGCAAGAAAATTTGTAACTCAATTTCCTTCTTTTTTTAGAGCAGGAACTTGCATGAATTCAACGAATAAATGAGATAAGAGCAAATGAAAGTGAATACATTTTTTTATAATACATCTGTGCAGCTTTTGGATGAGATACCCACAACCAATATCAAAGATGACTGTGAATCTAAGCAGATAAGAACTCCCTCTAACCTGTTTTATTATACCTGCTGTGCGCCATCAAAATTGTAAGTATTTCAACTGTAAGGACAACTAAATGATCAGATGTTCTTTCTTTCAATGATACATTTACTGTAGTTCGGAATGAAAATAGGAGAATCCTTTTTCACCTGAGAAGGAATCCATATAATTATCTGTATATTAAAAGGTATGATCTGTTGATGTTCTGTGATTTACTACATCTATTGAAATTCTATTACACCTTAATTTCTTGATGATATCAAGGTTAACATTAATGCTAAGAAAAATCACGAAGGTGTAGCTGAATAGAGCACTGCAACATTATTTCTCTTCTCTTTTAATCTCATTTCCAGTCCACATTTATTTGCAGCCAACGCCAATTTGTCTACCTTTGCCTTTCCAGCTCCCCAGCACGGCTGTAAACTTTTAACTGCTGGATGTATCTCTGAAGTTTGTCCTTGCAGAATTATCCAGCAACTTATTATAACTAAAAAGTAAAGGAAGATCTCTCATTTACACCTTTACTACCACATTTAGATTTTGTATATACCCCACAGCATAATTTCATCACTTGATTGCTAATTACTTATAATTAATGAATCATTGTTTTTTTCCATACTGCAAATCATAATGACATCAGTGGAGAAATATATACACTTTTAAAACAGTATTATTTGCCCCAAATTTGATCCCATTAAACTTCCCCATTTTTAAATTAATATTTTCATCCTTCTCACTACTTAACACAGCTGTCTTAGTTATGTCTATGATTAATTTTAAACCCTAACACACCTGTTCTTGGTTAAGAAATCACTTCAATATGACCTGCCTGACAAAATGAAGTGCACCAAAAGATCTTGAAAAGACAGACATCATGCTAAGATCCTAAAAATTAGGGCCAAATGCGAAAGGGCCAAGTGCGATTAAGATCTATCAGATCCATCTAAAGAGTCCAGTGAACCATGATGCAAGCAGGTATCTACATATTGGGAAAACATTGAAAAGCTGTGAGCTTGAAGTGGCTGACCAAAATTACCCCAAGAGCACAGCAACGACCCATCTAACAGGACACAAAAGATCCAATAACACAGAGACCTCTCACCTTAAAATGCGCTTTTTTGGAATCTGTCAAGCTGCTCCCATCTTCCCGGCTGTGTTTTTCTGCAGGGTGGTCATAGAGGTTGTGTTTACTCTTCTTTACAGGTGGATCTTCAGCACAGTTCTCCACTCGCTTTCTCTGCTGCCCAGCAGAACAAATCTATAAACAAACAAACCAAAAGGAATGTTATTCAGATCTGTGATGTTCAACTAGGAATATTAATATGAAAATGTAATATTTACCTCTACTTTGGAGAAGGGACAAGCATCCAACACAGACTGTTTCTCTGATAGTTTCATATCAGTTGGTTGTTTGTGTGCTGTCTTTTTCTTCTTTGCTGTAGCAACCCCATTCACCTTTTCTGGATTCTTCATGTTACAAGTGGATGAATGCTATTTGACGGGCAGAAAGAAAAGCTAATTTGTGAAATCTAACTCTGATTGTGTTATATCATATGTCAAATCTGATATTTTAAAAATAATTGTGTTAATTGAGCATATAAAAGTTTTAATAATATTTATATACTAGAACAGATATATTTGCTAAAAAAGTTTGTATAAAAAACAGTTTTTTTCACTGTGTAAGAGCAATAAATAGATATGTATTATGTATTTTAAAGCTATAGAACTGTGTGAAATTAAAACAAAAATTTACAAACTATTTGCCTGCAAAACAGATCAATCAAAACGGTGAAAAATGTTTTGATCAGAGAAATTTACACAATGTGCAAGTGCTTTATGAGATAAACTTGTATTGATTGAAATTTTCTTTGTTTTAATAAAAAAAATTAGAAATAAAAAAGCAGTTTTGCCTTGGGTGATGGAGGCTCTTCTGTTTCAGAATCACTCTCATCTGTTTTGGGTTCCTGGTAACTTTTTGTAGTGGTGGCTGCTGCTCTTCTAGGCCTCTTTGTAGCCACTTGTGGTCTGAGATCTGCTACTTGGTTCACTTTCTTTGGAGGATTGATAATCTTCTATAAACAGATTATACTACAGTGACACACAGTGGCAAAAAGGGATAGTGCTGCACTAACTTCAGGGACGTACTAATGGCCTACCTGAATACGTTTGCTTTCGCCCTTTACACCTTTTGAAGATATTGATTGCAAATCTCGGGGTGTGTCTGTAAATAAACAGAAGATAGATCCTAGCACACTTTATGTTAAGAATCATCTATGTCTTTTTTTTCCAATGATAACTTTTCCTTTAATAAATCCAAGTCTATGGACCTGGAGAATGAGGTGGGGCTGTTTTGGGTTTGAGCTTAGCGTGTCTGGTGTACGTAATGACTTGAGCTTTGGACTTTCTGGAGGATTCTCTTAGCCAGCTGATATCTGTCGGGGCATTGTCTGTGTCAGTGTCACTGAACAGATGCTTTTTCACATGTAGCTTCTTCTGCAAGAAACAAGGTGACAACTGCAGATGTAAAAGGTCAAGAAGCAGCCAATCTTGTTCAAACTAAATTATTTTGACTACTCTTTATTAAACACAACCTAAAATCTCAGCTTACCTTTGCCACAGGTTGTCCTTTCTTAGCTGAGGTGTGAATTGTAGAGTTGTTGTAGCCACTTTAAAAACAACAAACATTAATTAAACACGTCCTACAACTTTTTTTTTTTTAATCTCAGAAGTCAAACCTCTGAGGATTTCATTTTACCTTAATTATCAAATTCTGTATAAAATAATTAGGTTTACCTGCTTGATTTGGTTTGATTCTCTCCCTAAAGTCAAAGAGAACATTTAAAACATTCATAATTACCGACTGCATTGTTCATGTAGAAAACACTACAGCTCAAAATGAATTTATGCCAAATACACTACTTAAAACATCAAGGGAACACTTTTCAGAGAGTATAATATTAAGTAACTTAAACATCTGGAACATTCATCTGTTCAGTTTATCAGCAGAGGGAATTGTTAATCATTTGTTTAAGGTCCTTAAACCATCAGCAGGACTGGTCTCTACCTCTAGAAAATGAGGAACAGAATGAGCTCTGCCAGGGCCCTATAAATTGATCTCTAGAGAGTCAAAAGCTTGAATTTCTCATTCTCATTAGAAACTATAATAATAATAATAATAAATCCAATTTTGTACCGCACTTTTCATTAAGAAAAATCTCAAAGTGCTACACAGTGCAAATAAAATCAAAGATAAAAATCAACCATAAAAATCATGTGGTCAATAAAATCAAAGATAAAAAAAAAACTATCTTAATGAGGGTGATCTGAGGGCTTGACATTCTCTAGCAGGCCCTGTGCTCACTGCCCATATCTGGTGAGCATGGCTGGCATTTGCTAGGGAACAGTAGAATTGGCAAATTGAGCTATGGCACTCTGTTCTCTAAACATATGACAAAATGTTCGCTCTGAGCTTGTGTGATACATGTGAAAGACTCAGAGACTTGTAGAGGATAAACAACAGCATCCTGAATTTTATTAGGAATCAGGACCTGACCATGCAGGCGGTTCTAGGTTCCCACTGCAGCACAATTATACCCAGCTTTGTTTGACAAGAGGATGCAGGCAATTACTGGAGGAAAAAGGGATTAAAGCCAATGACTGACCTCCATGGTACCCTGACCTAAATCCAATATCTGTGGCACATCATGTTTAAGTCAATTAGACATCCATATAATGATAGAATGCACCTCAGAGTGTCCAGGAGCTGAGCTGTGCTCTGGTATGGATAACTCGGGACAGGGTCCATCAGTTCATAATGAGCATGGTCTGATACAGGAACATAGGGTAAAACAAACCACTGAGCGCCATGTCGAGTTCCATTGATCACATTTTAGGAAATTGGACTGGGATGCCAAATCATTTTTTTCTTGATCATAAGATTTTATCATGAAGAAATCTATTTTCATCAAATAATGGGACTCCATTTTGTTGCTAAAAACAAAACCCATTATATACAAGTATGAATATCCAGGATTTTTAATATTGATATAATTTTAAGTGTCCTTTGATTTATTTTGTTTTTAGCAGTGTATTTGGGAATATAGAGTAAGTAAGTAAGTAAGTAAGTAAGTAAGTAAGTAAGGAAGGAAGGAAGGAAGGAAGGGTGTAAAGAGGAAAAAGAGAGATGAGACAACATATGGAAGGAAAGAGGGAAAAAGTAAAGGAACAAGGGTTATGAAATAATATGTGGGATCCAAGAAAAGAAATGCATAGGAAAGAAATAAAAATAAAAACAAGCTGTTACCCTAACGGAGATCGGTGAATCAACTTTGAATGCAAAGCTATCATTCCTACAAAACAGAAGAATTAAATACAACGCTCTTAATTTTCAACCCCAGGATTGATCATTTCCCTACAATTTTTCCAGGTTTTTGTCAAACTGTTGCATTACCTGTCAGATCCTCTGGTAGAATTTAAGAGTTTTCCAAGGCTAATGGTTCCAAGTTTGTCTTTCTGATGCATATAAACAATATCTTCAGTTAAACGAGCAGAGCAAAGAAGTGCAAAAAGTCAACTCTTAGGTAAAGTCAAGACATTAGTTGAAGACTTACTCTACATGCAGGTATCACCTCCTTGTTAAAGATTGGTCTATCAGATAAAGAAATAAGAACAATCACACAGTATGGTACATGTGGTGCTGTTCTATACTAAGTGAGATGAGTTGATCTAAAGAGAGAAAATAATCCAGTGTGTTCCTTAATGAGCATACCTGTCTGTTAGCGGGGGAATCCAACTTGGAGAACTTTTATCTGAGCTGTTTTTTCTTAGGGTTTTGGTTTCAATCTCATAATGGCTGGAGATACGCTTCATCATGGTGGCTGTGACATTTGAGTTGCTCTAAATTAAGAGAATGAACGAGAATAATCCGATTAATTAAATAATTATGAATATTAAGAAAGCTTATTGAGATGAATTAAAACATGGAATTCCTACTTTTTCTTTGGTTGAAATTGCAGTTTTTTTGCAACCTTTGGCCTCAAATTCTTTGTGGTCCTCAACAGTTTTATTTGTGCAGGTCTTCTTATCTGAAGCTTTTGTTGGACCAATGTCCACCTGAAGTGACATCTCCTCTCTTTTTGCGTTTTTTGAGACACTGGTTCTCTGAGTATTTTGTATTTTTGGAACACTCTTGGAACCACGTGTGTTGTATAACTTTGTTTTGTCAGAGCCCCTTTTGGAATCAGAAGTTTTTCTCTGTTGATCAGTTGATTCCTGTCGGGGAGGATCTTTGCTCACATCATTAAGGACCTTCTGAAGGCGCTCATTGAGTTCATTATGGAATTGCTGTTGGAGCTTAAGACTTGAGGCAGGAACTGACATCCGTCCTGAGGAAGTGCAGTGCTTCTGGGGTTCAAAAGTACCCCAATTAGGCTCTAAATAAAAGAAAAATAATAACACTTATAATTAGATCATCTGCATATTTAAGATTTGTTCATTAATTTAAGTCCACAATGCCTAGAGTAACAGAAATGAGCCATGTTGATATCAACTATTAAATGTCTTTACCCGGTACTGATCCCATTTTCTGAGTTGGCATTGTTAGCATTTCAGACATGGATAATTTGCTCCAGTTTGATTTCCTGCAACATGAAACAACAGACCTCTATTGATATGTTCTATTTATATGAACACTGTTTTTAAATTGCAAAGAGGCGTACTCTTTGACCTACGTGTTACATGCTGAGCTGGGCTGTGTGTCAGGTACAAAATAGGTCTCTGAAAGTAAAGTAGTCAGATAGAGCTTTAGGAGGCTAAACAATTACAGAAATATTTTGGTAACAAGTTCAAGAGGAGGGAGATGTGGAGTCAATAAGTCATCTCCATGTCAAGTATTTGTTCTGCCACTGAGCCAGATGAGTCCAATTCACTTCACTGTGCAGATTGGACTCACCTGGTCCAGGGGATGGGCAGAACAAATAAATGACATGGAGATGACACCATACAAGTTGGCTCCATACCTCCCACCTCTGGAGTTCCATTAAAAGGTGCTTTAGAAATACCCTGAGACTTCTCCACTCCTTGTCCAAATACAGTGACGTCTTCTGCTCCAGCGACTGGCATTTTCTGTAAGAAATGGACATGCAATACATACTGAATGACCCATAAATGTTAACATACAACTTCCAAATGCCTTTTTTTAATATAAATAAATAAAAGAAAATAATTTACCAGACTCAAATCTATAAGCTAACATCTTACACAAGTGAGATTTAATGCAGGGTTTTACAGGTTATAAATACTAGCTTTAAATTGTGTTAGTTGTCCTTACATCCCCAGCTCTGTGGCTGTCAATATCTATATGTGGAAGTAAACTGTGTTCAAACCAAGACTTAAATCCTTGACTGTTCTTCACCATTAGTGTCAGTACCACTTTGAGACAGTTCAAATAAGAGGAAATCAGAAAAGCCAGACTTGGACACCCTATTCTGACTAAGGCACAACATGTCAAGACATGATTACTGAGTTTCAACAAAGGGACAACTTGCTTGCTTAATGACTATTGCAATACAGGTTCAACTCATCTGTGTTGCTGTACACACACAGGATCAGAAATTAACTCCTCACTCATTAAATGTGACAAAATGTTTCATTTGGAGAGTTCATGCACGAGCAGCATCCGCCACAAGGTAAGTGAATGTTTGAACCAAAGTTGAGCTTTGGTCACGTCCTTTCTTCTTTTATTTTGGTAAGTCTCTCTCTGTCCCTGTGTCGCTCACACGCCAATAGACAGATGTACGTACAGTGAGCACACCGCAAAGATGAAAACATTGCTTTACTCTGCCCATGCCATTTGAAAAAAGGCTACGCCTTTATATATGGACTACATAACAAATGAAAATAGTCTGCCGTTTTTTGGACGGGTTACGTTATGGTCATTCTATCAGATAAAAGTATTTTGCACTTTTTTGAATGAGATTGAATGAAATTCTTAATTTAAACTTTGTTTAATGAAACTACATTACTGTTAACTGCTACTTTGTTTGCATTAAACATAATGCCTTAAAGAGATAATTTGTTCCTTAAAATTATATGAGAGAACATGTATTTTTTTTCTGGCCTGTAAAAATAATCCTTGGTATCAGGACTCCTGTTTTTGTGTTTGTGTTTCTGTGTTTGTCTCCCTTCATCCACCAGGAGGTGCCGGGGTCTGGTCCGCCTCCTCACACACCTGCTGATGGTTTCCTCGTTAAACGGAGTGTTCTTAAGCTGCTGACCGCCACTACTTCGACGCCAGAGTGTTTGCCAGTTTAGGGTACTCTAGCCAAGCTGAGTTTTTTGCTGAGTCAAGCTGAGCTTTTTGTCAACCTGAGTTTAACATTGTTTTTTTTCTTTGCCGCTCGGCAGGAAGTCATCCTGCACACTGGATTTCTCAGACCTTCACTCCCTGGAAGGATCAACTGAGCTTCAAACTGAGCTGGGATTCAAACAGGAGGTTTGGATCCACTTTCCCCAAAAGATTGTTTGAGCTTCTCACTGAGAAAGAGATAATCTCCACTACGACCCATTCAAGTACCGCAGGAAATCTGAGTGGCAGTCAGTTTCTTCGTTCACCAACTTTCAACCGCATTATGGGTAAACCCTGTTCTGCCCTCCACTGAATCAGACAAACACTGGAACCGGAGCACAAAGACAGGAGTCAAGGATTCAACAACTTCTCTGGAAACGTGAGTCTGCAACCAAATCCTCTTCCCCACGTTCTCGAGTCAAATTCCCCACTGAGCCTGAACTAACCGCTGTGTCTTCCCCTCACTTTACAGTTCTGGTTGAGCAGTGTTCAGAGCAACACTTCTCCCTCTGCTAAACTTCTTCAATAAAACCCGTTAAACCTTTTCCCTGGTCTCTCTGTTCGGTTTTCTACATTTAGGTCTGAACTTTGTAACATCATGACACTTGGCTGGTAAATAATTTTGTCCACTGGTCCACTTGGCCAGTGAGTCAAACAGTTCATTTCGGATCCTCTGCGCCATAAGAAGACAATACAGTTGGGCGCAGAGTCCCTTGAGAAAGTATAGCAAAAATTAAGCACGGTGTTTCATCGCCAAAATGGGGGTAGACCAGTGCTGATAAAGTGTGAAAATTGTCACTTTTTTCATAATGAACATTAAATTTATTATGCTTTTATTTTAGTCAAAATTTATCTTTGAGTATTTGTAAACAGAGGGATCAGAAAATTGTATTTAACTAAAAATTTAGTTCTGTATTGTCTTTTTAGTTTTAAAGGTTTACTCTGAAGGCAAATGATTTCATACAGCATAATGTCCTTTTTGCTTTATCGTTCTCATTGGTCATTGACAAACAAATGAAAATGGATTAGATCATTTGAAAATAAAATCGTAGAGTTTGTGTAGATGTGTTCAATGGCAGAATATTTAAATCTGTGAGTGTATTTAAAGGCACAGATTGTAACAACTGATTTACAAAGGAGCCCTTGAAAGAAATAAATCTTTAAAGGCTAGAGATTTGTTGTGTTTCCCCTAGATATAAGATGAAGCTGTTTTGCTCTACCCTTCAGAAGCTCCTTGAGCTTATGCCCTACACTGAGGCACAAGTAATGAGATGAATCTCAGCCTTAGAGACTAAAAGAGGTAGGACACTGAACACATTTTTTTTTTTACAAAACCTGTTTTGAGGTTTATCCAATTTAGTCTAACAAGAATTAATCAGAAAACCAAAAAATACTGTTATAACTAACTTTCCGCTACCAGGTAATTGCTGTTCTAATAAAATGTTTCTGTTATAGTGGAGCTATTATTATTAACTCCTGAGCTCAACATACAGTGCTTTTCAAAAATAAAAATATGCTTTGAACTTTTAAATATGTAGTGTCATCTTCTTATCTTATTAGTATTTTATGAGAGACTAATATCAAATGGTGCATAAATGAAGTTTTGTTTTGTGACAAACCTGCCCGCTCCTGTCAACCATATTTGTACTGTGTGGAGTTGTGTTAGTGCTGCAGTTCATGATAGTTGTGCCACACACAGAGAGCTTCACCATTGGGATCTTGCTGTTGTTTTTCGCTGTGATGAACAAAAAAAGAAGAGAAAATAATAACCATGCCTTGAGCTTAGGGGTGGAACGGTTCACAAAATCCATTTGGTTCGGTTCATGGTTTCGTGGTCACGGTTTTCGGTTCGGGTCGGTTCGGTATATGTTGATTGTTACACTGAAATCCCATAAAAATTAATGAAATTAATGAAAAAATCCCCAAAAATTAATGAATTGTAATTATTTTTAATTTTTAATGATCTGCGGAAACCCTGGATCATGTCCACATGTTTTGCTGCTTTGAATTTAATCATCTTGCGCATGCCCTCTACAATCTCCAAGGAACTCAGAGCGGAGCTCCGCTCCCATAGGCTGTAGGCTCCGCTCCCGTCCCACAGGCTGTAGGCTTTGCTTTGTGCAGGCGGTCTGAAACGCAGCGGGGCGGAGTGCTGACGGAGTATGTGGGATTGCGGGGTTAGCCTGACATGTTGGTCATGTTGCTGTTAGCATAAACAAAACGTGTTGCACAATGCTTGCACACTGTTGCACTTTTATCCACAACTTTCTTTCCACCATCATCGTAGGTCACTCTAAATGCAAAGTGGTCCCATACAGCAGACCTATAAAGTGCTGCTGGCGCGTCTTCTAACTCCTGTTGTTTCCCACTCGCCATACCCACACAATTCTCCACAACAACTGATTTTTTTCTGCTACACCCAACTGGTTGGCTTTGGTCGCAGTACCGCCACCTTCTGCTCTGGAGTGTAATCGCTTCTTCTGTGAGAAAAAGGAGCAGCGCATGAACCGAACCCAACACATGCAAATCGAACCGAGACAGTCGAACTGAACGGTTCGGATGGTTTTCATAAACCGTTCCATCCCTACTTGACCTACAGTTCTGTCATGACAAGAGATCTTGATAGATAGGCAATGCTGCTGGAAAAAGAGATCAGCATGGGAAAATGAAGTGTGCCGCAAAAGCAATATGGCAACTATAGGAATTTAAGTACCGTATTTTCGCGACAATAAGGCGCATATAAATGTATTTTTTTTCCCCTCAAAATGTGCGGCGCGCCCTATAGTGTGGTGCGACCTATGTGTGTTGTTACTGCGGACGTTTGAGACCACCATGAGAACGGTAAAGGGGGAAGTGTGGGCGTGGATTGTGTATAAAAGAACACTCTTTCATCATTTCCTCATTGAAGAGATGATGAAAGAGTGGCTGAGAGAGGTGTATGTAAGGAGACCAGGTGGTTTTTTCCAGTCATCACCATCACTGTTAATCTGTGACCCATCTCACAGCCGATGTGAAAAACATGGTGAAAGAAATGACCGCTGTGCTTGCTGTTATTCCGGGAGGTCTGACAAAGGAACTTCAACCGCTCGACATCGGTGTGAACACTGGACACAGCAAGAGCAGCAAAATCGCGTCTGCTGCTTCATTTTTGCTGATTGTACCAGTTAGCTCTGACGCGCGGCTGAAGCAGCTTTGCAGCTCCAGCTGCAAAGCTGGTGCAAAAGTGTGTCTGACGCGCGTTGGGCGGAGCTACTCTATCCTTTCTTTGCCTTGCAGCTATATTTACTGTGATCAGTGGGAATAAAGTACTTTTAATATGTTTTTAAGTGTGAAAGTCCACCTGAAAACTTAATTACTGCAGTCAGTTCATCCAGATTACGATCCTGCCTTCCAATATTATTTCTGTTGGAGCCGCTAAGACCCCCACATACAGCAGTGCGCTGTCAGTAGGATCCCATGCAACAGCAGCCTCTGGCCGGGTCGCCTCCTCGTGGTTCACCGCAGCAAATGGTAGGTGTTTTTCATCTAAATAATCTAAACTGCAGGCACCAGGATAATAAAACATTTTCTGCCAGCAGATTTCTGCATTTTAAGTTAATTTATGCGTCAATAAACTGTTTCAAAGGAGTGATCACAGCGCTCTGTGTCATCAGCGATGTGTCTGTCTCATGGCCAGCTCCCAGGTTTGATTAATACTTTGTAATAAATACATGAATAAAGCACAAACATACTCAGTTTTGCCCCCGCTCTATTTTTAAATACGCAGTAGAGGTATTTAAACGAAGTAGAGGACATGTACCTGTATATAAAACCCGCGCCCTATAATCCGGTGCTCCTTATGTCTGTGTTAAATACAGTAATGGCACACATAACTGAGACTGCACCTTTTAGTACGGTGCGCCTTTTTGGTCGTGAAAATACGGTAACAAAATGAATTAAAAAAACAACATTTAAACGTTAAAGCTTGCATTTACTAATTTGCTACACAACCCAAAATTACACTTAAAATTATGAAACAATATATTTACACTGATTAGGTGTTACTAATCAGTTTTATGATTAGGTGTTACTCACTTGATGATTTATCTGGAAGAAAACTGCTAGTCTTTACACTTCCTCTCTCATTGCTGCTTATATAGGTTGTGGACTCTGACATCCTCTTTTTAGCAGGGGTCACCATCTGGAAGGCAAAGGACTATCTGATTAGTTAAAATTATACTAAAAAGTAAAACAACTGACCACAGCTTTTTTGATTTTTAGATAAAATACTAAAGTGTTGCCTGTGCAGTTGCGGTGGGCAGGTCGTAGGGTGCAGGGGTTTTCTCAGTTTCACCAAGAGACACCTGGCTCTCTGGAACCACCTGTGAAGATTGCTATGCAGCAGACACCCTCTAACGTCAACATATGCATTTCCAGCTCTAACATGGTAGAAGACATTCTGGGAAATTTGATCATAGTCACATAAACTTATCTAAAAAGGATCAACCCGCATGTTTAAGCCTCTTTGAACATATCGTGAATGTAAATAATGCATGAGGTCAAGCTTGTGCATACCTGGGCAATGTTATCTGCCTCTGTGGCTTTAACTGCAGCTTTCACTTCATGGATGCTCTGCCAGAATAAGACACTAATTAATTAACAATGCATTGTGACCAAAACAATCTCTTTTCACTAAACTCCATTTAAGTAAAAATCCACATCAAAAGAAAGGCTTTTATTTTATTGATTACATTGTACTCAAAACTGTACAAAAATCGCTCACTTACTTTGTTTTTGTCATTCCCAAAAACATTTTGAGCAGCTTGCAGTATGTCCAATGAGGAGCTAAATTGGATGCAGAGAATGGATCCTTCCATTGAGTCAATAACAATCACCTCTGACAGCTTTATCTGCAAGATTTGCCTCTTGCCCACCTCTGCAGATAAAGAACAATTTGTGATTTATATTCTCATTTTACTGGGTTGTAGTAAAAACACTTAAAGACAGAGAAAACAAGTTAATTTGGTGCACTGGCAACCTGTGACTGTGTAGCTTTGGACTTCATGCTCATCAATGCACACTGTTTCCCAGTGAGCATCCTAGAAAGAAGAAAAATGTGGCTCTAATTGATCTTAACCTTTCATTAGAAGTAAGAAATGATGTCTTTGATGAACACAGTGTAACACTGGTCTGCCTGTACCTCTTCATCAGGTAAAGAAAAATAAAAGGAGATGCTCCTGCTGCCGAGGTTGAAGTCAATCCAGAATTCCTCAAGTTTTTCATCAGATGGCATCAGCAGCTAACACGACAAGCATTTTTTAATGACATATACTTTTGGACAAATGTATTACTATTTATAGTGTTTCCAAACAAGATAATCATTCACACAAGAACATTTCCTTTGATAACAGTCAGTTTAACTTAAGTTCCAAAGTAATAATAAATATTTAAGTTACATTGTAAGATAAATCTTGGTGATACTGACCTCATATTTGCCCAAATAAACTTTCAAACAAGGGTAAGAGCACACTCTGAAGCAGAAAATGGACAGGTATTCAATAAAAAAAGAGTTAAACATTATGACAAAAAGCCTAAATGTTTAGAAATTGACCAAATATACAAACAAGTATGTAAGCTGCTGCATGTTAACACTGCAAGGTAAAGATGAACGGTAACAGAAAACTGAATGTATTTGTATTAAGCATGCAAACAGCCCAAAGGAACCTCCAATTTCATCAGTGCCTGTGCAGCAGTGTGTACTTTCTGCATACTTGTACCTTCTTTTGTCTCCTTGCATCCCATTCACCATGTTCAGAAACCTTCTGCAAGCCTAAAACAACACATTTCTGTTTTGGTTTTTGTTTCATCTAAAAGTGCAACTTAGACATGTTACTCAAGCAAATAATTATTACTACTAAGCCTTTTACCGTTTCAAACTCTGAATCACTGATCTGGGCAAAAGCAGTGGCCACATGCCCCATGCTGAACCATCGGTCTGCAAGCTTCTTCCTCTGATCAGGGGTCACCATTCTGAATAATGCCTCCATCAGGGATGACTGCATGTCATAATCTGTGAGAAAATGAGTATTTGAATTTATTAAGGAGAAAAATGGCAGTTGAGTTAATGGTATAAATATAAACTTACCACCACTGTCCAGAATCCGTCCTGCCAGTTTGGTCCTGCAGAAAAATAAATACAAGGTTGAACCAAGCATAGCATAACTTTAGAATTGGTAACTAATTACAATAAAAACACTACAGTTACATACATGATATCAGACGCCTCTTGGGATGTAAGGAGTCTCCTGTTCTTCTTAAAATCCAGTGGCATTTTATCCAGAATGATGTTGTATTTACGAATTGCCTGTTACAGCAACATTATAGTATCTATGAGCTAAGACCTCAGTATATCAGACTCATTTTCCTTCCCCAAAGAATTAGTAACACCAATTATTTCCAACCTCTTTCTGGATCAGAATGTATATTCTGGGGTCTACTGCTAACTGGCCGACCGGATACAGGAAGGAGTCAGTGACTTCAGATGTTCCTGAGGAATAAAGTTAGGAAATCCAGTTTGTAAAGAAGTTCAATGTATCCAAGCAATTCTGTTAACTGACTAGATAGAAGAAAAACAGGCATGGAAATGGAAGGCAATTATCTACTGAACAATTTGAAAACTTTTCTATACATTTAAATTGAAGAAATCACTGTTATCCTTGTCAGTAATATTATAGCTGAAGCTAAATAACATTTCAAGAAGGGAACAAAAACTATAAATTAAAGAGACATACCCTCTTTGCATGACTCATGAACCATCTGCAAAAGAAGAACCATGAGGAGAAACTTTAGGGACAAAACATCTAAAGCTAATATACGCACTAACTAACAAATATGACTCACCATTAAGACATTTAGGAAGTTCTCACAGAGGACATACATGGTTTTATCCCAATGTGGACCTTGTTGGATCCATAGTTTCCTGCATTTTTCAAACCACTGCACCATGTGCACCAAAAATAAAGGCAAAACTTAAAAATATTTACAGGGATCATTGCATATGTTGCATGTGTATTGTTATACTTATCTTCTGAATTAGCCCCTGAGAAATTAAACCTGAGACTCCTTGCCCACCAGGTAACTTCAGATCTTTCCCACATTTGTGGAGGCTTTCAAAACCCAAACAGGCTGATCTGGTTTCTTTTTTATCCAAGCTCTAAAGAGTTAAAAAAATTTATTGTTTTTTTTCTCTGTATTTTAAAAAACAAACAGAATGAAGTGCTGAAAAGTGTGTTTAGCCTCTAATCTTACACTGCTGACAAGTTTATCCAATTTATTCAGGAACTGTTTGGAACAGTTGATAGAGACGCCTTTATATGCGTTCATCTCCAAGAACTCGTGGAGGGGCCGGACATCTCCACTCTTTAACACTGCGCTGAGTATATTCTCCAACTGAGCAAAAAATATTACAGGTTTGGAGCATTATTAAATGTACAAATGATACTGGGATAAGCTTGAAATAAACCGACAGTGATGCAAACCAACCTGAGAGCTTGAGGTTGTAGCCATTCTGGCTTCTGAGGAAAAGCTTCTTGGCCTTGACCCCTGCAGTCCTCAGAATGCAGTGAGAACACATACACCTGCAAATGATCATCTGATTTAACATTACCTGTTTTATACAGATGGAAGTCACCTTAACCAAAAAATAAGTCAGGGCTATAAAGACATTGCTTATAGATATTTTAGTTTGATCAGAGGTTATAATCTATCATACCTTATATGGTTCAATCTGCCAAGGACTATATGGTAATAAGGTCAAATATATTCTAAACGATTGTAGCGTTAAATGTAATTACAATCCAGGGGTTGACGTTAAGGATTTTTACCACTTGCCCTTTGGGCAAGTGACTTTCACATTTCATTTGCCCAGAAATAATTTTTACTTGCCCAGTATAATGTTTGATAAATATAGTTCCTAATCTTCATTTTTGTATATATATCAATGAAACATGTTTGTTTTTTAAACGTTTTTTTGTAATTCAGTATTTTTTAAGTTTACAGGTTCCTGGTGTGTATATGCATGCGTCAGATAATGAACTCAAGCCTACATTACCGTGATAACATGCTTTTAAATCCTTCCTGCACATTCTTTTCAAACTAAACTTTGCTTTAAACTGTTGTGTGCTTGGAAAAATATAAATTGTAATGTTAAAAATCTAAAAAAAAAAAAATTGACAGGTTAAAAACTTTTTTTTGATAAATCACAAGACAGAAGTCAATGTCACAAATGAATAACTTTTATTTTAGAGTCATGGTATCTTTATACAAGATAATACTATTAATATAATGTGACTTTTCTAGAGAATCATTATACATAGTTATTTTATACAGGGTTTCCACAGTCTTACATAATTTCAGAATTCCCTGACTTTTAACTGACTCAGGATTAGTTTTCTCTGACAAAATAAATGCAGCAACAAGACAATAATAATTACATAACAGGTCACCAATTGAACATGTTTAGCTCTATAACATTTAAATGCACCTCTCCAATGTCTGAGAGAAAAAAATTGAATGAACATTTTTTAATGTATGACCTGCATCACTGTACAGAAGACTGCCATATGATAGCCATATTTACACTGTGCGCATGGCATACAATTATGCCAGTTTTCCTAATCCTTGACCGATAATTTTTAATCTAGGGTTATCTAGGTGGTGGGTGAAATGGGTGGAGGGAAAAATAGGTGGTGGGTGTGTTACTGTACTTACATTTCTTTGCCTTGTTGTTGTTTTTTAGCCTGCCAAGTCGAAAAAGATTTGTCTGATTCCCGCCAATTCCCGAACAAAAATCACGCCATCTGGCAGAAAATCACGCAGCTTTTTCAAATCACGCGAGAATGTGTACAAAATAACAAAAATGGTGCCGGTAACGCTTCTGGTCGTTTTCATCGAATGTCTGTGATTTTAAAGTAATGTTGAGTGATAAATATTTTTTTTTTTGCGATCATTGCACTTGCCCGGCGGGCAAATGCAATGAAATTTGTACTCTCCCAACAATAAAAACTACTTGCCCCGGGAGATCGGGCGATGGTTAACATCAAGCCCTGCTACTGCAGAACTCATGCTTTGAGAAAAAAAAAGTATAAATCAAAACATTTCTAATTATTTAAACAAATAACGTTATAAATGCAAATTCTGGTTTTATGCTTTCTGCTGACATGCTGCAGGGGTGTAATTCAACAGTGTACTGTCCTTCTCATTACAGAAGAATGCTCCCGGAACTTCAACACCCTCTGAGCGTCTTTTCTCTGCAGCAGGAAACATAGCCTCCAAAAAAAGTGCCAGTCTTAGTCAGGAGCACGTTGACATGCTAACCTTTTTGCATTGCAATGTTTGGATATATTTATCCTCTTGTTTGAACCCCATAGGGCACATGTGTCAAACTCTAGGCCCACGGGCCAGATGTGGCCCGCCATTTATTTTATGTGGCCCGCTAGAACTCCCACAGGCGTCATTTTAACGGTTTTGAGATTTTAAAGGGAAAGAACTATATTTAAAATTAAATTTATGTTGCTCATGTTAACTGACTTTTCCTGTTTCTATATTTCCTTCATCTTCACTTAGTTTTTTAAATAAAATTAAAACATAAAAACTAAATATGGTTAATTCTACCTCGACCCCCCACAACCGTCCTTTTGACGGCTCTATTAGTTGCATTGTAAATTCTTCCCGCGGTTGATTGACGTTCGGTACCGTTGAGTAGCAACCGGCATTCTACCTAGAACTTTTTAGCTAATATGGAAAAAAAGGCGTTCAGAATGAACCTAACAGCGAAACAGGCTTTAGAAATGCTTCAAAATATCGATTATAGTGATTCGGGCGGAGGGGGAGAGAACAATGAGGAGGACTGGGGGTGAGCGGCTCAGATTCTGACAGCTAGTCCGAGGATGATCACCCACCCCTGAGAAAATGCAGATGTATCAGACAAAAGTAAAACTTTGTCCAAGCACTGCCCACACCTAAGCCGGTCCACTCAGCGACCCAAAGCTAAACCAGAGCCCGTAGTCTACTATAACCACAAACAGGTCGGGTGGATGTTTTGGATCAGATGATTAGAAAGGATTCTGTAAAAGCTCCGACACGAAGTTGACCTGTGGCTAGGGGTGTGCAAAATAATCGTCATGATGATGCATCGTGATTCTAATTTTCGTGATCTACTGCATCGATTCTTGTTGCCAAGTATCAATTATTAATAAAAAAAAAATTAATACATAAAATTGCATGAATGGTTGGCGACTGGACAACTTCCAGTCCAGTAGATGTCGCTGCGGATGTGTTGACGCATGCTGCCTTGTGTCACAAGCATTTCCGGCCGCGGGATACTGCGCCGAGTCATTAAAAAACAAAACATGGAGGACAAAATATTGCACTGCATCGCAATAATTCAAGTATCGTGATACATCGTGATAGAATCGCATCGTGGCCTGTGAATCGTGATTTGAATCGAATCGTGACTTCTTTGGCAATACCCACCCCTACCTGTGGCTGTAATTTATAATCTCCTGGAAATATCACCTATAAACGCTTTGGTACTGTTCAGGAGCTGTTTGATTATATATATTTTTTTACGCAGAGATTTTATCCTTGAACTGGTAAAAAAGTTGCAGACAAACCGCAGGTTTCCAGCCCCTGCAGTAGAGCAGCCTTGGCAAGGCACAGAAAACAGTGGCAGGAGCTTCAGCGCTGCACAAAAAAACTCACATATTACGTTTGTCATAAATGGGAAAAGATGGTCTGTGGGAAATGTTTGGGGGGGAATCATTACATTTTTGTAAATAAAATTAAATGTTTCTGTTGTTGTAATTATTTAATGTTTGCAGGTCTTATGTGTGTATGCATCAAACCATCAGTTGGATGCAAAGCTGTCCAAAGCTTTTTTTTGTAAAATGCTACATGTGTCATACATGTTTTTTGCAGCTCAGTTTTATGTTATATCAGTTTGATCTTTCATTAGTGGAGTTATGTGGGTTTTCATAAGCTGACAAAATTTAAAAGGATTTATGTTAGAGCAACAAGCAAGCATATGTTTTCTATGAAACTGTAATTGCATAGAAACTTGAATAAATTATAATAAATAATGAGTTATTTAACATTAAGGAGAAGTTACATTTATTTTACATTACATTCAATTACATGTAGTTACATTTATAAGTTACATCTGGCCCTTTAAGGACAGCCATTATGCTGATGTGGCCCTCAGTGAAAATGAGTTTGACACCCCTGCTTTAGGGGCTTTAAAAAACAAAAATGCCTGTCTTTTTTGCACTTTATGAAATAAAGTACCCTATATTTTTTGGATGTATAGCTACATTTCTCATGCAATTTTGTGTAGTTTTAACACAAACATTTGTTTTTTATATTGCAGCAGTACAGTTAATGAGCAACCTGTACTTGTGTGCCTGTTCTGTCTAAAATGCTTAGTTTTGGAATAAATAGGTTAATATTAAAAATATTTATTGTCCGATTCAATTAATCGAAAAAATAAACGGCCGGTTCATCGATTTTTAAAAAATACTTTCAACACCATCATCCCACAGCATGTACTTCTCCCTGAGGATGAGGAGAGCCCACCTGCCCCCACCCATCCTCCCCACCTTCTACAGAAGCACCATAGAGAGCGTTTCAGTTTCTTCCCCACTGCCATTAGACTGCTGAATGTTGTGTAAATTTTATATAAATAAAAATGTTAGAACTGTAAATATAGAGTCAAAGTTTATATTACTATTTTTATATGCATTTTCACTTGCATGGTTGATACCAGAGCGTAAACAATTGAATAATTATTAACTAATTTGTTAATCAAATGATTAAACAGAAAGACAAACTGGTTTCCGTTGACAGAAACTTTTAACCAATCTCAGTAAACCATCTCTGTAGAATGCCTTGAGATTAAATGTGTAGTGATTTGGCACTATATAAATAGACTACATTGAAATTGACGGCACACAGACTCTAAAACGTGCCATTTGCTGAAAGAATAACCAAATTAAAACAGTAATTAAAACAAAACCCTACAGATAAAATAAAAAAAATATATAAACATAGAATGCATATTTCTATTAAAGATTAAGTTTATTTATTCACATATTTATATATGAATATATGTGAATGATATATTATATATCATACACATATAATTATGTTTATGAATGTATTTTTTTTGTGCATGTTTTACCATTTGCCTTTCATTGAAAATAAGCAATAATGGATTATTTTCTTTATTCCAAATGTTGGTTCATTTAGAAAAGTATCTCCTTTTAGATTATTTTTTTCAGTTAATCAAGTAATCAATAGATTGATCAATTACTAAAAAAGGTGCTAAGTGCAGCCCTAGTTGCTACCTACAAGTGTTTGTCTATTTTTTAGCTTTATCAAGCTTCCTCCATGTTACTGTATCTGTATTGTTTTAAAGTTTCCTAAAGGACTAGATGTTTTATAGTGTTGTGTTTACATGTCACAGGTATTATATTGACAAATTAATGCCCATTTGTAAAAATCCTGCATCTAACACTTCCTCCTACAGTTAAAAAGGAGTTACTGCATCTAATTTTGTGCCTTTAATTCAATTTAGGAAAACCGATATCAGCAGCTCCGTTCACAGCTGCAGTTCACTTAGACTTATAATAAATCATATGATTTTGTTATCATGGTTGTCACTATTTTAAAGGTTAATAAACAAAAGTGAATGCAATAAAAATAGGATAAAAACGAGATTGTATCATCTGATTGATAGCTCTAATTTTACTGTAAACAGAAATCAAAAACTAAATCAACTGGAGTATGGATCGAACCGGGTACTTGCAACCTTCTCAGAGCACAAGCTACTGCTCTAACCACTAGACCAACACATTGATTTTTATGTTCCAGCAGGGCTTGGCAGCCACCCACACTCCCAAGGGTACTAGGAGCTGCTTCAATGAGCTTCCTGTTCTCCATTGACCAGAAAATGTCCTGAAGCCCATAGAAAATCTACAGGGTGTTTCCAAGATGGAGATGAGGGAGGTCAGACCAAACAAGTGAGACTCCAAAGCAATCTAGGCTTTCAGTTCAAATAGACCTACTTAATGCCACAGGCTGCTTATCTCTATGCCACAGTGCATTGATGCAGCCCAACCAAGTGTGGTGTGCATGGAAAGGTCATAAGTTTTAGAAGTCTGACACTTACTTTTTAAATGTTGGTCTAATGTAATTTGATTCTTGATTTTGAGGGGGGGGGGGGGGGGTTTAACATATAAACCAAAGACACAAAAATAAAAAATTAAATCTTAACATATTTGACTCTGTTAAGTAACTTTCACATTCTAGAATTACTTGCAAATGTATTGCAATTTTACACGATATTTTTCCACTCAATTTAGAAAGTAAAAAGTTTATTTTGTAGTTGTAGTCCATCTGTAAATGACTGGACCGTTCACAGCCCGCTAATGGTATTACCGAACACTAATCGGTTAACTTATATTTATTATAATGTGTTTATTACACATAATCAGTCCAAAAAAAATGCTATCTCATTAACTCATCTGTCAATGCCTGCGTTGGAAGCTCATTATTAGCCGAAAACAACAGTTAATCCACCTTCCGTTTTGGCTAGCAATTATAATTTGTTTCTAATTTATTTAAGTTACGTTTTGAGCGACCAAAATATGTTGAAAAAATACACATTACGTCGTTATTAGCTACTTACCGTATCTAGGAAATCCTTATAAAATCAGAAAAAAAAGGATTTCTGCCGGTTACTTCTGGATCTAACGGCTCAACGTCGAACCGCGAAATCAATAAGTAGCGAGCGCGTGACAGGTTTATAGATGCTAAACCTATTTTAGTAACCCATCGGAAAAAAGAACTCTACAGGAAGAGCTGCAAACTGTTTACCCGACGATATCGTTATTGTCATAGAAATATGAAATTAATGTTTGAATATTTGTCAGGGTACCCTATACAGACCCCAAGAAAATTAAGCTTTATTTATTTATTTGTTTATTTATCTATTTTTGGGCTAATTATACTTTTTAATCAGGCAGAAATTTGTTCAGTTAACGCGTTCGCCATAGCTATTGGAAGGGGCACATTCCAAATAAGAGCACATACTAATCATTGCCTTTACTAACTCGACTGACTGATCGTTTTTAAAGATCATGTTGGCTATTTTTTTTTTTTTTTATCGTAAGCTTTTTCAGGTGGTATTTTTAAATGACCAAATAATGTCATAAAAATATAATATGAATTAGGTTTTTTGTTCTAGTTAATGAACACGGAGGACCAGCTCTACCATATTTAAAAATAAATACAGAAATAAATAAATGCTCAATAAATAAATAAGGATACAATTAATTGCCCCCCCAAAATGTATTAATGTCCATGATAATATTCAACTTGATTTATTAAATACTTATTTATGTGAATTTAATAAAATTTTTGTCTGTTTTCTTCTTTTTTTTTTTTTTTACCCTATTTATTACTTCATTTATTACTTCATTGCTATTTATTGCCAGTCATTTTTACATTTCTGTATGCATTTCTGCCTCATATGCAAATGAGGAGGGGCTGCGTCTTGGAGCAGGGGTCTTCAAAGTTTTCCAGGCCAAGGACCTCCAAACTGTTGGCGAGATGGAGCGGGGACCTCCTAATTATATATATTGTATGAAATTGTTTTATATCAAGCTGGTCCTATAGTCACTCTATTACACATGGAGTCATGTAAGGAGAGTAATTTGGCCCTGGGATTATTAAAGAATTTCTGATTCTGACTACTGGTTGATGGGACAGGTGTTTTGAATGAAATGGTGCCCAGCTTGAAAGAGCTCCTGTGTGTGTCGCTGAATGTGTGCATTGATGACTGGAAGACATCCTTTGCCTCCATTTATCAGTTTACTACAGTGTATAGAGCTTTGGAGTTGACGTCACAGGATATGACGTTTTCGCCGCTCGGCGCCATATTAGGGGTCCACAGACTAGAAAAAACATTTTCGGCGTTTTCGTCGTGTTAGCGCTGTATTCTCCTCTTCCAAAATGCTGAAAAGCAGTTTTAAACAAAGGGGGCTATATCGCGAAAAGCTTCTCCCAGAAGCCAAGAAACGCTACATGGAAAAAATAGCGAAAATTGGACATAACGACCCGTTTGAGATAAAAAAATTGGAGCAGAAACCCCGATCATTTACCTCATTTGACATTCCCAGACATATTTACATACCTGGTCTGTGGTGTCAGTGCTTACACCGCGAATCAGTTCAAGAATTATAAGTCAATGGAGGCACATGTCCAGTTTACAAATGGCTGGGTACATGATTTGGACATTTTTACCCCACCTGATTGTGAATACGTTGTGGTTCGAACAAAGGTAAGTTCTGAGCTCCTTCATTTTATGTACATTCTTAAAGTACATTATTTTACAGTCAAACAGAATGTTTCTTGGTATGAGTACTATAAAGTGTGAACACGTTATTATTAAAGTACTAATTGATTTGCGAAGTGCCAAGTTTGAATTAAATTACAGCAATTCCACTGCATTTTTAATTCCTTTGAGCCCGTCTAATAACAAGATAGAAAGACTGTCGTGGGAAAAAGTATTCAACTATTCATCCTAGTAAATAAACGGAGATCGATGGATTTCACTCAGTCGGCACATTTATTTATCATCTTTGCAAAGAGAGAATAGTCGTCATGGCACAGCATTCTGCTCTGTTCTGATCTGGGCAGGGCTTTGTCCCCCCCTAGTGACAACAATGGAAAGCAGTCAGAGTCATAACAAATTACACACTCTTTGCTTAACAGTAACATGTTATGAATAAACCTTGAGAAAGAATCTGGATTGTTATGGGAAGAAGCTATGTCTGGTCTACAAACAACATTCTGCAGGGAATGGTGTGGCCTTGAGAGAGAAACAGACTGAGTGAAAACTTTTATAGTGAGTAAATATGAATATTAATATATAATGAGAGAATATAAATTTTCACACAACAAAGACTCAGATAATTAACCTGTCATTTACACATTTACAATGAAAGAAAATAGTTATAAAAAGTGCAAATAACTAATGTTCATTCATAATAAATAAATAATAATGTATAATAAATAATGTTCATTCATTTCAATTGTGTGTTTGCAGGTTATGCACTCTCAGAGACTCTGTGAGCCACCGTTAACACCGTGGGTCATGCTGAGCAACACTGGCACTGTTGAGTGTGCACATTGCACTTGCATGGCAGGGGTTGCAGAGACCTGCACCCATATAGGTGCCCTACTTTTTAAGGTGGAAGCAACAGTGAGGATACGAGGCACAAAAACTGTTACAGATGAGCCAGCCTACTGGATATTACCTGGCAATCTGAAGAAGATTCACGCAGAAGTTGGCCATAAAATTGACTATAGTACTTCAGCTTCTCAAAAAAAGATACTTGACCAAAATATCCTTGCTGAAGTCTCAACACCAGCCAGAAGAAGCCGTCCGCAAAAAAGAAAAATCCCACATGCAAATCTGGAAGATTTGGATCCTCTGCTTGACACGCTATTAGAGCATGCCAAAGCTGTTTGTTTGTCAGGAATGGAGAAGTATTACACATTATTCACACACACAGAAGAGCAGTCAGTTAAGTTACCTCTGTCACTATCCTCTCTGTACAACAAAAACAGCCACTCCGATGATTTGTCAACTCTTTTGCTGTGCTGTGAAAAATACAAAAATGCTGCAATAGTGACTGATGAGCAGGCAGAAGCTATTGAAAAGCACACAAGACTGCAGCACAAGTGTTCTGCCTGGTATGAATGTCGAGCTGGACGAATTACAGCATCCTCTATGCACGCTGTATTTGCCACCAGTTTGGAAAGCCCAGCGCTTACAGTTGTAAAACAGGTGTGCAACCCAGGCAACACCATGTCTACTGTACAAACAAAATGGGGTGTGAATCATGAGGTTGATGCACAAAGGGCCTACATTAAATTAAGAGCTTGTCACAAAAATCTAAAAGTTAAAAAGTGTGGTTTCATCATAAACACTGACTTCCCTGAACTTGGAGCTTCTCCTGATGGACTCACAACATGTGACTGCTGTGGTAATGGCTGCCTGGAGATAAAGTGTCCTTATAAATACAGGACATCCTGCATCCAGGAGGCAGTGGATGCAAACGACAAAAACTTTTGCCTTCAGCTGTCTGGCAGTGAACTTCTCCCGAAGAAAAATCATCCATACTATACACAGGTACAAACTGAGATTTTTGTGACAAAATCAAACCACTGTGACCTTGTTGTGTGGACCCAGAAAGACATGGCTGTTGTCCGTGTCTTTCCAGATCAGGAATTCTGGGAACCACGTCTACAAAAAGCACAAAGTTTCTTTAAAAACATTTGCCTTCCAGAACTTGTTGGTAGATATTTCTCAGAGCACACCTGTACTCCAGCTTCAAGGGAGACATAGTCCAACAATCTTGTCAAGAAGCATGTAAATCATTCTGCTAGACTAATATTTGCACTTTTTTTCTCTAGCAATTTTTCTCTGATGGTTGGCAGATTTGTTACCTGTAATGTTCACTTACTTGTTACATTTCCACTGAAAAATGTCCAATAAGACTAATATTTATAATGTGACTATTTCATATTATTTTTCACTCTGAATACATGTTGAATGTTTAAATATGGGCTCTTTCATTTGGTCATATTGTTTACATTGTTTACCGCTAAATGTCAGATTATATAAGTATTTAATCAAAAAATGTTTATCTAAAAATCTAATCTACTTCATGTATATTATATTAATTTTTTTCAAATTTTACTTAGACTGTTAAGTTCATCAACTGCTTACATGCAACTTCAATTGCTTGAATCAATAGTCTTATCAATGTTTACCAGATCAATTTATTAAATGAGAGAAAACAATTTCTTTCATGTTGTTATTCAAATCTACACATTTCCACTGAAAAATGTCCAATAAGACTAATATTTATGTGACTATTTCATATTTTTTTCACTCTGAATACACGTTGAATGTTTAAATATGGGCTCTTTCATTTGGTCATATTGTTTACTGCTAAATGTTTGATTATATAAGTATTTAATCAAAAAATGTTTATCTAAAAATCTAATCTACTTCATGTATATTAAATGTTTTCAAATTTTACTGTTATGACTGTTATGAAGACTGTTATGAAATTCATCAACTGTTTACATGGAACTTCAAGTGCTTGAATAAAAAGTCTTATTAATGTTTACCAGATCAATTTATTAAATGAGAGAAAACAATCCCTTCCATGTTATTATTCAAATCAACACATTTCCATAGAAAATCATGAATGGAACAAATACAAATTTCTTTTTCACTATATTATTTTACACAACAGTGCTATCTGTACAAATACAATTTAGTTTTTTTCTATCTACATTTTACATAAAAACTACTAACCATACAAATATGCCAAAAGAATAAATGCAGAAAATCTTTTTTCAATCTGCATTTTAATTAATATCAGTCAAGCATTGGAGTTTCATATTCACATGTACAGGTTTCCTTTTCATTAGGTTTCACAACCACACTAGAACACATGTTCACTAAGCAGCAGCACACAAACACAATCTTGTCAAGAAGTGTCACCTCTTCACCCTCACATGTAAGCAGCAACCTAATTGGTATAGTTCTGTGTAACAGTTTGTATTTGTTCCTCATGCAGCCAATCACTCTTTCCACATGAATTCTGAGGTGAGCTATAGCTCGCGAGTCTTCGACATCTTTAGCATCCAGTTGACATCTCCCTTTAGTGAATGATGGCATCT